TATACCATGCCGACACATGAAGACGGTTATCTCCTCAATCTTGCTCTGTAGCCCGTTGCAGTTAAATTGAAGGAGCTTCATGTGGTTCGGGAGACGTGTCGTGATGTGGGGTGTAAGTGAAGTGTATGTTCTTGCCGCCGTTGGCTGTGTGTGCTGCTGTGGTGATTGCCCCCCTGTGGTGGTGGCGGGGGGCGTCCAAATGGAGTCTGCGACCGAGCAGCGAAACACGGGACCTCGAAGTTTCCAGTCCAATCTTGCGTGGTACGCAGACCTGAGCATGCCCTAAAGTGGCACCAGCCAAGGCAGGTGTTGCACTTGACTGATGTCACATTACGGAATATCCTGGTCTGATATACCGTGCAGATTGTAGGGGGAACCAGGAGTTGTTGGCGGCGGCGTGTGGGTGGTGGTGCGGTTGTGTGTGTTATGTGGTCTGTAGTGGCTGTGGTACGGTCTGTGGTGTTATTATGTTGTTGTGTTGTGGTGACTGTGTGAGGCTGCTGTGTGAGTGTGTGAGGCTGCTCGGGCGGACTGTGGTTAGCCGTGGAGGCTGCTCTGTTTGAGCAACAGGGGGCCACGTACGACGTGGTCCACTGTCTATGTGTCCGTAGTCCCGAGCAGACTCTGAGGTGACTCCACCCCTCGCAGGCATTACACTTGCCTGAGGTGGAGTTGTGGTGTAATCGTCTTCGGCATACACAGCAGGTGTAGGTTTTTGGCCCTAGGTTTGACTCGATGCCAGCCCTGAGTAGGAGAATACGTAGTGAACGTAGCCCTATGGACGGTAAAACCCGAGTCATTCCGGTACGTAGAACCGGCTGTCGTGGGAATGGAAAAATTTGGTCGGTTCGGTTCAGCGGTTCGAACCGTTTTTGCACTTGTGGATTGGTTCGTCAAAGTGGTTTTTTGGTCTTTTAACGGGGGGGGTTCGGTTCGGTTTAACGGTTCGGAAAATTTGGTCGGTTCGGTTCAGCGGTTCGAACCATTTTTGCACTTTTGGATTGGTTCGTCAAAGTGGTTTTTTGGTCTTTTAACGGGGGTTTCGGTTCGGTTTAACGGTTCGGAAATTAAAAAAAAAAATNTGGATTGGTTCGTCAAAGTGGTTTTTTGGTCTTTTAACGGGGGGGGTTCGGTTCGGTTTAACGGTTCGGAAAATTTGGTCGGTTCGGTTCAGCGGTTCGAACCATTTTTGCACTTTTGGATTGGTTCGTCAAAGTGGTTTTTTGGTCTTTTAACGGGGGTTTCGGTTCGGTTTAACGGTTCGGAAATTAAAAAAAAAAAATCAAAATAACGCGCAAGTTTAAGTAAAAGAAAAAGAAAAAAGGGGGTAAATTTATCTATTGAAAATTGGTTGAAACGAACCTTTAACCCTTTATGAAAGATGGTTCGGTTTTCGGTTCGAATCAAACATTTGTGGAAAATTTCGGTTCGGTTAATGGTTCAGTTAGTTTATAGAAAAAAGAGGTTTTCCAGTTCAAAACCGGTTCGGTTCAAAACCGGTTCACGCCCCGGGTAAAAAGAGCAAAAATGTTCTAAGCAAGGAGAAAGAAAAAAGAGCCGCACTTTGCTAAGCAAAGATCCGCATTTAAGAGCCACGTTTGCCCACCGTTGGTATATAGATTTTTATTTAGATAATTGTTTAATAAATTTTACTATAGTAGGAGCTTGCAAAATTCGGAAAATCTCTTCCCGTATATACAATGTACATAATAATGCTGAATATGTCGCATGCATAAATTTGATGCATGATTTGATTTGAATTTATTCGGCAATGTCTTCATATATCACTTTCAAACATGTAGTATAAGCGACTTGATATAAACTGGCACTTGCATGCTGTGTTACATGTCGCTATGTTTTTTAGTTCAGGCCTTCAGTATCTATATATAATTGCTCAGTCATACGACTTAGTTAGGCCGATCTGTAGCATATCAAACTAAAGTGCAAGCTGCAGTTGCAGTTAACCGTGTTTGTCAAAAAAGTAAAAAGCGACAGAAAAGTCGATAGGGAGTAATATAATCTATAATATAATATAATATTAACCATATTTGCGTGGAAATGAGATTCGGAAAAGTTGTTAGGTTATTCATAGTGTTCGAGCGGGGCAATATGGGGGCCAAAAATCCTCGTGATTCCGGCAACGGGGATCAATGGGGGAGCCGGTTCTTTAACACAATCTTTTACTTACTCTCACG